AGTAGATAAAACGCCTTTCTTATCAAACGTTTAAGATAATTTCTGATTCAAACGATTACATATTTTTTTTAAATTATAGCAAAGTGCCACTGTACAAAATCTACCAACTTAATGGGCAACATTTGAGTTGTCTAGCTGCAACCACCTTGGTGTCGTCATCCACATACTACTTCATCAACACTACTTCAGTTGTTACAACCTCTTCTATAGTAACACCCACTTTTAGTGGCAACTGGCAACACCCACCTTTAGTGGCAACACCCACCTTTAGTGGCAACACCCACCTTTAGTGGCAACTGGCAACACCCACCTTTAGTGGCAACACCCACCTTTAGTGGCAACATGTGGCAACACCCACCTTTAGTGGCAACATGTGGCAACACCCACCTTTAGTGGCAACTGGCAACACCCACCTTTAGTGGCAACTGGCAACACCCACCTTTAGTGGCAACACCCACCTTTAGTGGCAACTGGCAACACCCACCTTTAGTGGCAACTGGCAACACCCACCTTTAGTGGCAACACCCACCTTTAGTGGCAACTGGCAACACCCACCTTTAGTGGCAACTGGCAACACCCACCTTTAGTGGCAACTGGCAACACCCACCTTTAGTGGCAACACCCACCTTTAGTGGCAACTGGCAACACCCACCTTTAGTGGCAACTGGCAACACCCACCTTTAGTGGCAACACCCACCTTTAGTGGCAACATGTGGCAACACCCACCTTTAGTGGCAACTGGCAACACCCACCTTTAGTGGCAACACCCACCTTTAGTGGCAACATGTGGCAACACCCACCTTTAGTGGCAACTGGCAACACCCACCTTTAGTGGCAACTGGCAACACCCACCTTTAGTGGCAACACCCACCTTTAGTGGCAACTGGCAACACCCACCTTTAGTGGCAACTGGCAACACCCACCTTTAGTGGCAACACCCACCTTTAGTGGCAACTGGCAACACCCACCTTTAGTGGCAACATGTGGCAACACCCACCTTTAGTGGCAACACCCACCTTTAGTGGCAACTGGCAACACCCACCTTTAGTGGCAACACCCACCTTTAGTGGCAACTGGCAACACCCACCTTTAGTGGCAACATGTGGCAACACCCACCTTTAGTGGCAACACCCACCTTTAGTGGCAACACCCACCTTTAGTGGCAACACCCACCTTTAGTGGCAACTGGCAACACCCACCTTAAGTGGCAACACCCATCTTTAGTGGCAACTAGCAACACCCACCTTTAGTGGCAACTGGCAACACCCACCTTTAGTGGCAACATGTGGCAACACCCACCTTTAGTGGCAACACCCACCTTTAGTGGCAACACCCACCTTTAGTGGCAACACCCACCTTTAGTGGCAACATGTGGCAACACCCACCTTTAGTGGTAACTTTTGTGGCAACACCCATCTTTAGTGGCAACTAGCAACACCCACCTTTAGTAGCAATGTGTGGCAACACCCACCTTTAGTGGCAACGTGAGGCAACACCCACCTTTAGTGGTAACTTTTGTGGCAACACCCATCTTTAGTGGCAACTAGCAACACCCACCTTTAGTAGCAATGTGTGGCAACACCCACCTTTAGTGGCAACGTGAGGCAACACCCACCTTTAGTGGTAACTTTTGTGGCAACACCCATCTTTAGTGGCAACTAGCAACACCCACCTTTAGTAGCAATGTGTGGCAACACCCACCTTTAGTGGCAACGTGAGGCAACACCCACCTTTAGTGGCAATTTGTGTGGACTTAGACAGACACCTTCAGTGGTAATATCTAAGGTTATACCCATCTTTTGTGGGAACATCTACCTTCTATAAATAATACCCACCTTCTATAAATAATACCCACCTTCTACAGCAATACTGACCTCTAGAGGGAGAATTCATCTTCTCGAGCAACAACCACCTTTTATTTACCACACAGATCATCTGTGACACTACCAAACACCTCTAGGACCAACTCCACACTTTGCCCTGGCTATCCTGACTATCAAATGTAGCAAAGTGTCATTTCCCAAACATCAGCAGACATTGATCCTCCTCTGCTGTAGACAAAAACCTTTTCTTTCTCATCATAGACGTCACCTGGGAAATTGAAAAAATCCGGGGCAAAATAAGTTAAGAGCGTTGTCTTTGGACCATACATAAATGGCATCATGCTATTGTAGCATTGTCTTACGTTATCACAAAAAGCTGCCACCCCCTACCCCCAGAACAATGTAGCCAACTCTAACATCCTACTTATACACATATTTAAAATTCAGTATTTATATACATACATTATATATATATATATATATATATATATATATATATATATATATATATATATATATATATATATACACACATACAATGTATGCCACATCACATATGCCACATCACATTTTTAATCCCCCTCCCCATATAGTTAACCATCTCACCTATAAAAACTACCCCCCCACCCCCCCCCCCCCCCACCCCCCCCCCCCACCCCCCCTGGTACACAACATTATAATATGACAACCCATGAATTCACAGCAAAAGAATTAACTTTAATTTTCTCAAATACTAAATGGTGATAAAATACTTATGTTACATATTAATGCATTAATTATTTATAACTTTAACAAACTAACTTTCATTTTAAAAATTCTTTGAACTTATACATTGAATGAATGGATTTTAAGTTTTAGATTGGCTGTTGGTAAACGTGGGTTCGTTTTCAATGATACAATAAGGTCTAATCTATATTGTTTGAAAGTTGGCCTAATCAAATTCCTCGATCATTCTGAAATGTGAAAAAAGGTAGACAGTTCCACCCAAAAATGTGTGGTAGATTGAATATTTATTCTGCTTGGTGTAGTCAATGGGAATAAAGAAAAAATAATGTTGAAATGCGTTTACACTACTGTAAATTTATTTTTATTTCAATGCATAGGTCTTTTCCAAAATAACATGGGAAAAACACTGTGGTTTAGGGCTGATAATTTTAAAATTAGTCATTATTATGCAACTTCCTAGCCGTGCGGACCGCACCGGGTGACACCATTTAGGGGGTGACACCATTTAGGGGGGTGACACCATTTAGGGGGTGACACCAAGGCAAAAAATAGCAAAATATATAGAGAAATACTTGAGGGGGGGGGGGTGCAAATCGAAAACTTGAAAGTTTGTCCCCGGGAAGGGTCGCTACGCCTCTGGGGGGGTGACACCATTTAGTGTCGCACCGGGTGACACCCAACCTCGCTACGCCACTGTTCCTAGCACCAATTATGTAAACTATTTCTTGGAGCAGTCGATAGACAAATAGGATAAAACAAGTACTTACTGTTAAAAAATTTTTTAAAACTCCATCAGTTCTCGATCCAAATGAAATTTCATTACACAATTTCTGTTAAAAGAGTTGTTCAAATTGTAAAAAGATTTTTGGTGACATAAAAACATTTCTTTTCTACAAGGAAAAACCAAAGTACAAAGTATGATGTGTCAGATTCTAACAAGGCTGATGCATGTCCAATGTGATTTATAATTACCATTCCATGCAGTTTATCTACAGAAGACTAGCAGGTTGTGATGTAAATATACATGGGATGCTTTAGCTGACTTTAGGACCACTTTACTGCCCATGCTTCAAGCATGGAGGATTTGAGATTTGATTGTTGTATTTCACAAAGATCTGGAGAAAAAACAATATGCTTGTTGTAATTACAGCACTTACAACAATCAACTTTAGTAAGAAGTTTGAACATTTTGTCAATCAGTGTTAACTTTATCAAAAACATACAATTTTTACGTCAATAAATTAATGAAGGAGCTCAGCTAAAGGTAATAGCAGCTAGGTTAAAGTTAAATGAAGTGTAAAGCATAATCCAGTTGTGAGGTGTCCCAATTGTATCAGCTACTGTTGAGAGCCGTCCTCTGTATACAACATATACATACATTTATTACATACACAGGGTATGCAATATCACAGAGCCAGTTGATCAAACACATATATTGGTACATAAAAAATTTTATGAGAGAAAACTCTAAGCAGATGAAAAATATGCACTGCAAATATGACTTAAAATGGACAGCTGTCCATAGTCTTCATAAATATGGACCTAATTATTCTGAAACAACAAATCCACTTCTTACTTTCAAAATGGGGGTGCGAGGGTCAAATTGTTTGGGTAAGTTTTTATTTACATTTTACCAGAATAAGCATTTTAGTTTAACTGAGTTAACCTTTATCGTGTAAACTTATACAAAAAGTATGGTATTCTTTTATAGATTCATTAATATGAGTAAAACAAAAAATGGTATTTATTAGGTTGATTACTGAAATTCTATTAGAGATTTTAGAGTACTAGATTAGTAACTTATAGCAAAACTAGAGCAAACAAATAATCAATATAGAGAATCTTTTGTTAATTTATTATTATAATGCTGTGCTAAGTATAACTTCATTCAAAAAATATAAATTAGTATTTATATGGTGGTGTTATGGTTGCTCCTTAAAATTTTTTTGTCATGTGCATAGATGTGAATGCTACCACTTCACGGTTTTAGAGAGCTTAAATATTTCCCTACAAGAGAAAACTATATGGTACCATTACTATCCAAAGTGTTTAAATACCAGCTTTTTAAAATTCAACATAAAATGGCTCCAGCTGTTTACAAGTTATCTATAAAGTGAAACACAAGCCAACTATTGAGTTAATTATTTTTATTTACATTACAGGTACATTAAAGAAAACAAGTACACATTTTCCTATTCAAAGTGCAGTTTCCACTTTTAGTTCAACTGAAGTAAATAATAACAATACACTACTGTGTGCTATATTTCAGTAAACAGGTGTAAATAAACTTTATAATAACAACAAAATCATTTCTAATACTTTTTAAACATATATTTATTAATCAAACAATTTAGAGATATTTAAAAAAAAAATGATTATGGCCAATGTAATGTACTAAAATGTCTTCCAGTTTGCTATTATTTCTGGTGGTTGAGAGATGAATTTTTAAAAAAAAATTTCATTTGATCAACAAAATCAATCAAAAGTTTCAAATAGCATAACTGAGTACAACAGCACATTTTAAAATGTTTATTTTTGCCACAATCCAGATTGACACAAGCAAATATACATAAATTGCAACAACATCCTAGGTCTAAGTAAAAGAGAGCCATTGGTATTTTAGCCAACAGTAATACTTGTACTTCGTATGTTGTACCATAGCCCTAATTCATATGAAACCAAATATCAAAGCAACTTCATTCTAGAAAATGTTCAGTTTCATTAAAATGCTAAAAAGTGTCTTTATTTGGGAAACAATAGTGGATACTTTATGTTAATATCTGGGAGGCGGAGGCCCACCCCCTCGTCCCATTCCTTGATATCCTTGAATATGAAATCCAGCTGGTGGAGGACCCTGCATTCCCATGTTACCTTGAAAGTCTCCATACCCAGACTGAGGTCTGATTTGGCCTTGATTTTGATTACCTTGCACCATGCTAGGCATCATCCCACCAGGTTGACTATACCCACCTGAAGGTCCAACTTGAGATGTTGTGGGTGGGACATTCTGTGCACCCACCTGAGCTGTTGAAACTTTGGTGGTGATATTTTTTAACAAGTTAGGGCTACTCTGAATAAGGTTATCAAGTGCCTTCTGTACATTCGGATTATCAAAGTTGATCAGGCTGGCACTGGATGGTGCAGCAGGAGGGGGTGGTGGTGGAGCTGGAGCTGGTGTCCCAGAGGGAAGCTGTGTTGCACCATTAGCTGGCGGAACTCCTTGAATACTACCACCAGCACTACTAAAAATACTAAGAATTTTGTTCTTAAGAGCCTGTTGAGCACTTTCAGTTGAAGGGGCAGGTTTAGGGACTTCAGGGACCTCTGTATGCTGCTGTACTGGAACAGGCTTGATTAAACCATCTGTTGGATACAGGGAAAAAGCACTTCTAAATTAATGTTATCTTTGAATAAAATTACACATTATTTGTCTAAAAATATTTAACATTTTTTACATATAAAATAAAGTTGGCTTTACTGCAGTTAGGTACTTCTTAGACTCAATAATTAAAATACAGCAATGTTCCATTAATTAATTTTACAACAACAAATATTTTTATAGTGTGAATTGTTATACTTGAGCAACTATTCAGATATGGAGTCTGCCAGGAAATTTTGCTGGGAAATCAATACTAAATATATGAAAACATGATTAGTTAGCACAGACTGGGCTTGTACTAGCTTATGAGTTTTTATTCGCCAATAAGTGTTCAGTAGGAGTTGGAGTAATTAGTAATCAAAATGTTAAGACTTACCATCTGTAACGATAGGACGACTTTCAGCATCAATCAATTTGTCACGACGTTCTTGAAGATATTTGATAACAGTATTTAATTCATCAACTGTTAAAGCTCGATTGTCTGCTAAAAGATTAAGCAGATAAGCAACTTCAGCTGAAGCTGGCAAAAAGACTCGAGTAGATATAGGTGCTGCAGTTGCGACCAAAGGAGTTGCAGCAGCTTTGGCTTTTTCCCGCAAACCTTCAACATATTTTTCAAAACTGCGACCAATTAGCATGATAGCATCGTCTAGTGGCATGTTCCTGTGCTCTGTAAAAAAGAAAGATAAAAAAAGTTTACTGTAGGTTTCATAATGAAAATATAGATGACAAATACAACATTCTACTTTAAGCACAAATCTAATATTTCAAGGAGATAAAGAGAATATTACTATTAGTTTTAATTATTTAAACAGTTTATTAAAAATGTAGATAGAAGGCCTACATTTTTAAACAGTTGAAAGCAAGCTATTCCTATTCAATATTACCTACTGCTGTGTTTGACACAAAGAGTTATGCTCTCCACGAAGTTTGGTAACAGCATATGCTGTTTAAAAGTAGCGTACACAGTAAGCTAAGTCCATCGGTTGGTATATAGTTTCATATGACGAACATTACGCAGCTAACAGCTAAGGCATTTTCTTATGCGGAAAGTACAAATAGCCTTGGCTGAACTACATTAATTTAGTTTGTAATGTGTTTGATATACTAGATCACAAGATTTCATTACTTGGAGTTTAAAAATTCAATAAAGTAAAGCTAAAAATTGTCCAACAAGGAAATGCAATTTTCAAAGAGGCATACAGGCACATACAATTAAGTTGTTAATGATTAAAATCCTTTACTGGTGAATCACTTAAAATTACTAGTTTGTTGCATTCAAGAGCTATACTGCCTAAATATTTTTTTGAGTATTGAAAAATCTTTAAGTGTCTTATCGGGAAAAATTACTTACAAATACTAGTCAGATAAAAACCAAAATGTAATGGTTGCTTGCTGTCGCATCATAGGTACATTTACACGAACCAAATTTTAATTGGGTAAAAATCGGGGCGCAAAAATAGACTTGTATTATTTTTTGTAAAAAATATCAAAATGTGCACACACTAGTCTGGTAAGTTCGAAAAAATAAACGAAACGGCACAGCAAATACGATAACGGTCGTGTGCAGTGTAGAACAAGAAATTTCTTGTTAGATCAAGATCTTCACGAAGAAACGAAAATCTAAGTGAAATAAACAATTTTTAAAAAACAAAGACGGCGGCAGGCTATACTTAAGTCGCGCAAGTAAAATGCATTTCATAAATAGATCAGTGTTTTAAAAAAAAATATAAAATGTTTATTATTTTTAACATTAAACAAATAAGAATCCCAACTTTAAGGACTTCAGAAAATGTCAAAATCAATCGCAGTATTACTAAGACTGGTGTAAGGTATATTGTGTTTAAAACTATTTTATGTTTTTTAAAATTGTTACCCTAAGCAAGCTTTACAGCTTAATTGAACCCAGTTTTTATCAAAATCACCAACCATCACTGTCTAAACTGATTAAAAAAAATAAAAGTAATAATGACTTCCTGATATTTTTAATTCAGTCATTCTAAGATTTTTATGAGACATTTAACAATTTACCTTGATATAAAAATAAAATGAATACAAACTAAAAATGGACTACTAATTTTTTAGAAAATTGATACTATAATTTTTTTCCCGCTTAATACATACAATAAATTATAAAACACACATTCTATATTAAAATGAAGATGATAGCTTTTGAGAAAGGCAACTAAGAAAAACACCAAACAAGTACTAATTGTTGAAAAATATATTTTATGATTAGCAGGATGAAGAGGATATATTGGATGAAATAATTCAGATGTTAACAGTATGCGGCTTGTGTGCAGCATGCATAGTTTTAAATGAACATGTGTGCATCTCTCCATTATGTTTTTATTTATTTTTATTTTTTTAATTCAGATAAAAAAAGCATCGAACAGCGTTCAAAATAAGTATGGCTTTCGGGTAAGACGTACAACGGTAACTTATTTGAAATTCGCATAGAAGATCAAAGGCTGAATACCTGCGAAATAGCCCTGTAGAACAAACTGTATATCGGTGCGCAGAAATAACGGACATAGGGAATGGACTAAAAATGGGGGAAAATTAAAAAAGTCCCTTGAATTGTTTCTCATTTTGTTTATTCTTTCTGATGTTCATGGCAGTGTTATGAAATAGTGAAATGTGCCCATCTTATTATTGTACTGGAATGTATGCTGTTTCTAAGATTGCCAGATAGATTTCCTCTCTTTGTAATCCAGGTGCAGTCTCCAGAATCATTGTGTGTATATGGTGTTGATAATTGACTGAACTCTAGACACATATTGCACAAGTGTAGGCGTGTATTTTCATTCAGTTGTATGCTTTTTCACACTGTTTTGTTTAATTACAGCATCAATCACTGTGTGTAACAATTGAATGGGATGTCAAATTCCATAGCTCGTAGTACAAATTATTCTATGATGTACCATTGTACCCTCCACTGACTAGAGAATGTTCTCCTTAATTATATTTTATCTTTTACTAATATTAATTAGCCTAACTAATACCTAACCTGCTTGTGACAAACTGTTGCAGGTAGAAATGTAGGCTTATGTTCAGAATTCGTTTGCGATTAGTGATATCTCAAAAAATTATTTCATTGTAAGGCGAACATTTAAAATGCAAATCAATTAAGATAAATAAATGTTCACCAGATATACAAAGCACTTACCCTGTGGAACACCATATAAGATGTTGAGTGTCAGTGATCTGTGAATTTCATTTTGAGGGTTAATGAAAACAGCAAAAAGACCATCCCTGGCAGTCAGCTCTTCAACCATTTGTGGAGCTGTTCGACCCTCAGGAATTACAGACAAGGCTGTAATAATGTTTTGCTCTTTGACGCGACGTTCCACTGCTTCACCATAAGCTCTATTGTAAGTGAATATCAGAAATTACATGTATAAACCATTTGTGTTTATGCACTCATGTTTCTATTAAAATAACAATAAAATATAAATTCCTGACATAAATTGCAAAAAACTGTGCAATTGGATAAATTGGGGGAAAAATCTTTTGCTTGTATAGAGCCTTACCGTAGCTGAGCATTGACGATAAAAACTTCACATTCAATCACAGGTGGAGGTGGCGGCCTTAAGGCAAATGGGTCTCTGTAAGGATCTAGATATGGGTCTCGTCTGTATAATATGAAAGTATGAGTAATATTAGAGCAAAAACAATTATTATTTTCCTTACTTAACCTTTCAAAAAGTGTTTTTTTTTTCCAGCATAATTTTTTTTTTAAATTTATAGTAGTAGCAACAATACTTTAGCAATAATTTGCCTTTTAATAACAATATTTATACCATTTGATTTGGATTCTTATAAATGAAATAAATATACCTGTAAGGATCATCAGGAGGTAACCAAGGATCTGGATAACCACGTCTATATGGATCAGGATAAAATGGATCACGTAATCCAAATTCTCTGTAAGAAAACATTACCAATTTAACTGCTTTGGTTTTTACAAGTAAAAATGAATCGAAAAATCTAGGACTTAGCTAAAGGAATCAAATAAAAGAATACACTTTTGACATCTTTTGTCAACAAATAAAAAACTTACCCTACAGGTGGGGGATATGGACCAGGTAATCGCCCATGTCCTCCTCGATAAGGATCTCCATATGGGCCATCACGTAAGGGGGATCTCTCTTTACCACGGAAACGCCCACTTCAAAAGTGTAATTAATAGATACATCTTAAAATTAGTCCAATATAAGCAGGTTGGAAAATGGAATGTGGTGTTCTCTTACAGTATTAATTAGTTTTAAGAATAAGGTATATTCTTAAAACTAACTAAAGGGATAAGTTTTTAATATTTATACAAGAAGCAATATTTTGTAAAAATAAATTCTAGTTGTTAAGGGTAATTTAAGTATTTTAAAATTAAAATATCCACACACCCTCCTCTTCCTCCACGATCAAAGCCACCTCCTCGATCAAAGCCACCTCCTCGATCAAAGCCGCCTCCACGATCAAAGCCACCTCCACGATCAAAGCCACCTCGATGTCCGCCAGCTTCTTTACGCCCTTCATTGGCCATTTTTACATCTAAATTAAAAAGCATGTATCTTTTAATAAGAATTTATTTCTAAACTAATGAATTTATTTAAAAATTGAATGATCAAATTTGAAGAAAGAACTTAAGTCAAGTTAAATTTGTAAACACATTTATTGAGTATCATTTATGTACATGTGTATTTTTTTTTAAAAGAAATAATATTTAACTCCATGTAAATTTATAACTTGGGAATTGCTTCTATATTTGGGCTGCTTCTGTATTTGAAATCTTTACAGCTGTAAACTTTCAACTATGAATAGTTAAATGTATTAAGACTTTTTATTGCTGAATTTATTGCTTGCATCTTTTTAAGACATTGGTATCTTCAGACTTGATTGTATTAATTTAAATTTCATTTGAATTTAATGAATACAAATTTTAATGCAGTTACAGCCTTTATTCAATTCGATGTTAAATGTTAGTTAAAATAAGGCAGGTTTTTTCAGTCTGGGGTTAATCATGTCTCAAAGTTTTAAAACAAATTGAAGGAAATAGATCAGATCAAGAAATTGTTAAAGGGTAAAGATTGAGATAATTACTCACTTAACAGTGCTAATGTACTATCCAGGACATTGATTTAACTTCATTAAATCTACATAATATCCTAGCTACCAATAATAGGTCATAAAAAGTTTACAAAGGCCTTAAAAATCACAGATCACTGCTACAGAGCTGAATCACGGTAGTAGTTGGCTAAAGAATTGATACACAAAGAAGCATTTATATAAAAGTACAAATGGGAAAAAGCTATCAGACATTTTTTTAAAACAGTTATGGTCTTATGATTATTTTTTTAAATTTTAGAAAATAATTTTTCTGGTTTTTGTACAAACGATGTCACCTGGATGTTAACAAAGCATTTTATAATCAAAAGTTTACTGTACAAGATGTGCAAGTGCTCAAAGGCAGAAAGCAAGCAAATGCTCTAATTGCCATACCAAAAAATTTATTCCGCCAAGTTACTGATAGAATTTTTTTTCATAGCCTTAGTTGTCAGGATTGTTTCAATTTCAGGATATTTTTTTTGTAAATTTCATAACAGATTAATGATTATGGGATTTTGTGGCTTTGGACATAAAGTTTTCAGGAGCATCTGGAACTACATGAAGGTTATCAAAGCCTTTGTTAGTATAATACAGATAGAATACACCATTTCGATCAAATACTTGACACATTTACAAAGATGAGATAATTAACTCACCAAGTCTCCAACCATTCAAAGTACTGCCATGCTCACCCTCAACAGCCAATCTGGCATGATCTTCTTTTAAGTATTGTATAAATGCATAGTTTTTTTTATGGACCAAAACATCTAAGGAAACAATAAAAATATGATTATGTACCTTGATTTTTCCATGTCAATTTTAAAATTGCTTATAGAAAAGGAGGAGGTGAAGGAAGAATTCAATAACTTAATCTTCAAATTTTTTTTTGCATTTCCTAACTAGATATTAAAAAAGTACATTTTAATTCTGTTGTGATGAGAAGTAAATAATGTTTTTCAAAAGCATAGTACATTACTTGCTGGAAAATGGGAGTTTGAAGTAGTCTAGAACAAACTGCAAAATATTTAAAGAATACTCACCAACCACATTTCCATATTTTTCAAAGTGTTTAGTGAGCTCCTCTTTTGAAATATCTTTAGATACGATGTTTGCAACAAACAACCTAGCATTCAAATACTTTGGCTTATTGCTAGCCACTAAACGTTCACCAACTGAGCTGTTACTACCACTGCTGCTACTGCTGCTGCCATTTCTTTTTCTGCGTCTTTTGGAATCACGAAAATCTTTTCTACCCCTTTCTCTACTTCTATCTCTACTTTTATAAGATCTGCTTCGACTTGAGTCACGGCTGTGGCGAGAATCTTCATCCATCCTACCTTTTCCCCTGCTTCTACTACTACTGCGGCTTCTAGATCTTGATGGAATGCTTCTACCGAATTCGTCAACTCTCACTCTTTTTTCCACAGATCTGGATCTTGAAGAGCGCTTAAAATTTTCTTGCAGCCAAGGTTGGCTCATCTCGTTCTGTAAAATTTGTTTTTTCAAAATCATTTTTATTTGCAGAATATTTCTTTATCTAAAGGTCATCACTAAAAAAGTAAAACTACAACCAGCTATTGGATTAGTATACATGATGTTAAGTTTGAAGAGAGCAAAACAACAGAGTTAAGCAGTAAAATTATGGCCTCAAAAACATACTACAGTGTTACCATAATTAATCAATTATGTACAATATTAAAAAGTTTTATAAAAACCTAAAATACGTTGTGTTTTGTTTTAAAACAAATAATAGGTACTCATTTTAAAAATGATTATAAGAAAATGTGAGTGTTTCAATAATGGTGAGACAAATAAATAAAAAGAATTTTTTAAGCCACGAGTTACAAAAATGTCAAGGAAATCTTACCTTCTGTTTTGGAAAAACCAAATTATTTCAGAGTCAAAATTAGGCGGGGAATGTATACAAAAGCATAGAAAAGACTTGATACAAAATCAAAACCACAATATAAAGTGTGGCATCAAAAATTGACCATGATAAAATCTTCTGATCAATTTCGGAAAAAGAACACGTACACTGATAAAAACAACCTGTTGAAAATTCTTCTGAATATCAACTTTAAGAATTCCTACTACTTGATTGTAAAGGCCTGTTTCATTAAAAGGATAAGCGAATTATTATGCCAAGTGAACAAGTTTCTAATATTTATTACTAAAAATATAAATCTCTATTTAGGAGAAATATGATATGGCAACAGTACATGAATTTTATAAGGAATATAACTAGCATAGACATTAAAAATAGAAGTGTGGTTTTCTATGTGCTCAGTAAAAAATATACTACTATTACCAGTAAATTCTGATATATTTTGTTTACTATTCAGATAATGTTAAGATAGGGATATAATGGAGGTTCAAGTGCACCTATCAACATTAGAATTTTACATATAATTTAACTAATTAAATTTTTGTATTTGAAAGTTTTTATATAAATGTATTCATTTGCTTTGTTCAGCTGTTCGTGAACTATTAAATTAAGCTAGTGGAGTTAACCAATATTGTAGTATCATAAGTAAGTAGATAGGTCAAACTAAAACAATACTTTTATATTAAGCCCCCAACACAAATGAGCAAGATTATTCATATTGAGTACACCTATGTCTAGTAGAAAATTGAGAATTAAAAATATAGGCTTAAAAACATATGCCAATTTCTTTGAGTGAGATCTAAAATACTTAATTTTTGTGCACCTCAATGAAAAGATTTTTTAATGTAGCTTTCAAGAAAAGTAATAGGTGAGTATAATTTTATTTTTACAAAATCTTCTAAAACTGAAATACCATGTTATCTTCATTCTGAGTCAATGTCATGACATTTATTTGTTAAGTACTCTGGCCTCTAATAAAAAAAAATAGTTACACAAGACTGTCATATGCTGTAGACCTATAGTTTACAATATTGTGTAGTATTCTGAACTAAATAATCAACTAGAATTGGGTTGAGTAGTTACAATAAACGAACTAGGCAGCAGCAAAAAGGTTGTGATTACGATAGGGTCTGTTAAAATGTTAGAAAAGCAAACTGACAAAATGGCAGAATGCATGCGGGAAATTTTCAATCACTAAACAATTTTAGCCCCCAGCCCCAGTTTAAGGGAGGAGTCAGGCACCTGACACAATCATCATAATGCGATAAAATGCAGGATTTTTTACATCGATACAGAAAAATTATTATATAAATTATAAATAAATTATTGATAAATTCTACACTAGTTAGAAAAACAATTTTAAAAACTGTAGGACGCAAGCAGTCACCCCCCACTGATGTCGACTTAGCTGACGACGTAACTGCAGGTAAATTAGCAAGACATGTGGGCGTGGTCAGAAATCAAATTTTAATTTTTTAATTTAACCTATTCCATTGCATAGTAGGCTATCCATAGCAATTTACTAAAACACCTGAACAGATATGTTAGTATAGTAGGCCTATCTAAATACTACTTTTTGCATTCTACCATATTTTGTATTATGTTAATTTACCGACTAGAGTAGTTTTTATATAGAATCTAGATATAGCTAGCTAGATTCTTCTTCACCACCAGTGTTGAGTGTATTTCTGAGTTCTGCAATCTGCAGGCGTGTAGGTCTTTTGGTCGACTTGATGTTAAGAATATTATTAAAGAATAGGGCCTAGAACTAGCTCTACAGATTATAAGTTCTAGATTAGGTCTAGATACTTCATTAGAAGATTTTTATTAAAATCTTAGTTCAATTTTCAAGTTGAGTTTAATGTACTGTGTAATATAATCTATATATATCATTCTCTATGTCGCCCAACCATGGGGACACCACCACCATCTCTAACCCTCCTCTTGCCCTCTCCCTCGCTCTCCAGGCGTGCACAACAAAACATATCGTTATCACCCCCACCAGTCTGATGAGCTGTGGTTCACTCTGAATGTTTACAATAGGAGAGGCAGGTGGAATTAGTGAGTTTTTAGGGGCAGATAATTTAGTCTGTAAACTATCTGATACTAAGGGGAGGTAACAAATTCTGCCAGATGTTTTCATTGTCATCTGTAAACTGTTGTCATGGACGGGCTGCTTTCAAGCGGGCGTGGGGGCAGGGTGAGGAAATTCTTCCTTCACACACTACTGATAGTGTTTTAAGGGGAGATATTTTTAGTCGCAGCATTGGTAGTGTCGAATTCACAAATTCTGAATTATTGAAAAGTAGAAAATAAAACAACTAGGCCTAGATCTAGGCCATAACTAAATAAATAGCGGCATGCTACGCAGTGGGTCGGCTCGTATCGATAATAATTTAATAATAATATGAATATAAGTGTAAATACAAAAACGCAAGCGCTTGCTTTCAACAACTTAAACAACTTAATAAATATTATTAAATAATAATAATAATAAATAATATTATAAAATTATAATACATTCATGCCTGTAGTGATCTAGAATCTAGTTCCTATTATTCTTACCTGTTTTATTCTTGCACACTACGGGATCAAATATAGATTTCTATATTTCTCTTTAGTTAGATCTAAATCGTGATATCTTAGTCTCGATCTACATCTGCTCTAGGAGGCCATTGACATTAGGCTAACCAAACTTTTGGTACCCCGGAAAGGAAAGCGTTTCTTTGATTATTAGATCTACTTCCGGTGTGGATGTGCACGACTTCACTGATCACTGGGCATACAAAGGCCTAGGCCATAATCCGCTTTGGCCAAGCTAGGCCTAGGTTAGACTAAAATGTGTTAATTAAGCCTAAAATGGTTTGTCTGATACCCATTTCAGCAAAAAATATTTGATCTCTTTTTTTCTTGGGAGCAGAGTTTTTTCCAGGCATCTCCTCGCCCCCACCCCCGAAGGAAGTCTACCGCCCCCCCCCCCAACGAAATGGAATTTATATAGAAAATATATACTTTTAGTAGTGTCCGCCCCCCCCCCCCCCCGGAGAAAAAAGTCTGCCTGGAAGAAACACTGCTTGTGGGGGGGAGGGGGGATTCCCATTAATGGCGACACAATGGGAGGGGAGCTTGAGACACGGTGTTTCTTCCAGGCATCTCTTCGCCCCCCTGTCCGAACGAAATGGAATTTATATAGAAAATATATACTTTTGACAGTGTCCGCCCCCCCCCCCCGAAAATTTGAAATGCCCCCCTCCCCCTCTGAGAGGAAAGTCTGGAAGAAACACTGTTCAGACAAAAGACTACGTATATATGCAGTCTTAACAGTATATTTTGTAAAGATGAAAACTATAAACTTTAAATAGGCTTTCCTACCTCGATAGCATAAACTGAGTGTTAATTAGTGAAGTAACAACATTTACGTAACACTTTAAATATGTCAATGTTGCCAGTGATGGACTGGTCCGCCGGTCTACCGGGAAAAAACCCGGTGGGCCTCCAAATAAAAAAATCCCGACGTGGGCCCCCAGCTCACTTTCTGAAAGCTGAGAGTAAACTCTTGTACACGAACACATCTGCCAAGTCTTTGGTGACTCGTCCAATAAGAGGCATCGATTCTCATTACTTGTCTCGTCATGACCTTGTTGCAGAGTCTCTTCCAGTCTACCGCCCCCCCCCTCCCGAACGAAATGGAGTTTATATAGAAAAAAAAATTTAACAGCGTCCGACCCCCCGGAAATTTGCCCCCCCCCCCCCCCCGGAGAAAAAAACTTTGAAAGAAACATTGCCTTGTCAAGAGACACAAAGTTTTACTTTGCAGGTACTGCAAAGATACCTACCTCGAGTAGAGTCAAGTATCTCAGTGCAAAAGTTGAGGAATCTTTCCAGATAGGCTCTGTCAAATAAAAAAAAATATTTAAAAAGGGAAAAAGTTATAAAAATAATGGGTATATGGGTATGAAACTTGTACTTTAATCAGAGGCGTAGCGAGGGGGGCGGGGGTAGCGGACCGCACCGGGTGACACCATTTAGGGGGGTGACACCAAGGTAAAAAAATAGCAAAATATATATATAAAAACTTGGGGGGGGGGTGCAAATCGAAAGTTTGAGGGGGGGGGGGGTGCAAATCGAAAGTTTGGGAGGGGGGTGTAAATCGAAAATGTGTCCCCGGGAAGGGTCGCTACGCCTCTGGGGGGTGACACCATTAAGTGCCGCACCGAGTGACACCCGACCTCGCTACGCCACTGACTTTAATATTTTATTGAAAAAGTTGAAATTAGGACATGTCATTGATAAGTTGCATGAAAAAAACTGTATTTTGGTACCCTAACCCCAACCCAAGAGGCGAATAAGGAGTTGTTTTATGGCGTGCGTTTAAATATGCAAATGTCTAGATATCTGAAATTGGTCACAAGTAGTGGACGTTTTGCATTGATGGCGGGCTTATCTTGACATGACCCAAGTTGAGATGGAGCAAACGGGAAGTAACAGGCAATGTATGTATAGCAGACCTTGTGCTGTGCTACTTTCTGTCTAGATCGGAGGACGGGAACATAATATCACGTCTCAATGTGTTATGTGCCAAATCAGGAATGTAACCAGACCATGAACAAATTAGAAATTATTTCGAACAAGACTAAATACACTTTTTTTTTAAAATCTTTTTGCAAAAATAAAGCAAACTTTATTATTATGTTACCAATTACTAATAATTTAATCCAGCTCGCCTCTTAAAACAAGTTTCTGGATTCAAAAACATGTTCTTTTTCATGCTTACCAGAAAATGCGCAAACGGAAAACTGCGCAAACAGAAAATGCGCAAATACAAACTAATAATGCTTTAATTTTGTCATATTTCGTGGAAGAGTGTTTTATTATGCTATAACTTACATGTAGTCATTCTTTGCCAATGTCTATGAATGCTCGATTAAAATAATAATTTTAAAAATCATAAAAACGTTTAAATAACAAGCTTTTTTTTGTAGTAATGCACGAAAAAGTAGAAAATAAATTATACACTACTATTTAAATAACTTTAAAGAAAAACGTGGATCACTTTAGTATCTATTGGATACTTTTACTAATATTTAGGAAGAGACCCACGCTTTTCTTTATAGTTATTTAAATAGTAGTGTATAATTTATTTTCTACATTTTAGTGCATTATTACTTAAAAGCTTGTGATTAAAACGGGTTTTTAATGATTTTTTTCAGCCACCCTTTTTAATTGCACTTCTTTTCCTTAGTTATAAATTTCACACACAAACAAAAGGGAAATAAAAATACACCCCCCCCCCCAGTTTAAAAAGTAAGGTTACCCTTCCAAACCTGACGGCCGATGGGGCAAGTAGAGTTCACCTGTTTCTATGACCTTGGCATGTGAAGGGATAATGTGGTCAGCACTATGCCCAGGCGCCTTTACTTTCACAAACGTGAGTTTAGGTACCCATCAGAGCTGGGGGGACTGAGGGATTCGAAAACGATCCTTACTCAGTCCCATTGTTGTATGATTGTTTGTCCTTTAAGCTTTACTACACCTTTCATCGGATCGCCACAAAACTTATGGAAGTTGTTGAGAATGTACATGTGGAGGTTTCTGCGGGGGGAAAAAATAAATTTTGAATGGGTGGCACTCCGGCAGTATGAGATTTGGCGTCCAGGGCTATTCTGTTAGCACAATGGCGCCTACGTTCGTTTTAAAAAGCTCGATACACTGTAAACACATTGGGCTACTATAATCATTCACTAAATCGAATCAGGCGAAAATACAGAACAATGGCAGCCGAAAGAAATGAGTCTGCGCCAAACTCCACTAGGGCTAGATCTTTCTTTGCCCCCTCAGTGTGTTATAAATGGATGACCCCTCTAAAGTATTCGGGATCCGCCTACACAGCTATTCCGCTTTCGATTGTACATTTACAGTATGAGATCCATTGATTGGCTGCGACGAGAGCTCTCTACCAATCAGATTATGGAATAGTCGTGTTTTCGCTAGACTTGACCTGTATCAACATGGCTGAACAAACTGAAGGTAATTACCCCCTTTTCCAAAACAAAAACGGTCTAATTATTAAAATACCAAAACTATGCTTCTTGGAAGTGTAATTTTGACTTATTAATACACATAATAACATATCATGTTTATAATTATTTAAATTACGTTTTTTTAATATTTCCAAACGTAGTCACAACAAAAATGATGTTGATGTGGAAAAATCAACAAAAACAAAATTAAAATGAAAGTAAAAATTTTAAAAACTGAATAGATCTAGATCCTAAGTTTCTAGATATCTAGCTCTTGTACTATAATTGTAAATTAAAGTTAGGCCTAGATTCTATTTAGTATTACATAGTCTCGTGTTCGAATCCTGGTTAAGCCAGTAGACTTGAGTAGACTGTGTAGTCAAGTGTTGTGTAGACCGTACCTGAATGAGTCCACACTGGTAAAACTCCATTTTAGCGTATTTTATTCCCTTTACACGTTCACCTCCAGTTGAGATTATTTTATTATAAACACAACCGAAAAATATGTTAATCAGGCTGACACATTTGGATAATGTTTGTTGGCGATCTGAAATGTCGTTAAATTTCTTCCTCTCCCACCCTGAGGAGTCATCCATAAATGACGTCACGCTTTTTTGGACGATTTTTACCTCCCCCCCCCCTCCGTCACAGTCACAAAAAGCCAGACCACCCCCTCCCCCCTAAATTGACGTCACACCTCAGTCTAAAACCCCCCTCAAAATTGCAGTTGAATTTCTCTTAAAACATCGATTTTTTTTCCAAAATCTTGTCTGAACTCTGTCAAAATAGAGTATTTTAATGAATTCATATTTAAAAAGTGTTCTAAAATGCAAAATAACGTCTAAAATTCGTTTTCTAACATTGCTTTTTTATAATGCAAAAGTGTGACGTCACACGATCTGAACCTCCCCCTCATCACACACCGTCACAAAATTACAGACCCCCCTCCCCCCTACGAGTGTGACATCATTTATGGACGACCCCTGAATATTTCTTCTATAGGCCTACTGGTTTTCTTTCCATTTAACAACCTCTTAACTAATGAATTCTAAGCGCCACTGTTGTCATACTCGCAATATATTTAGTTTGATACACCAAAGAATTTAAATGGGGCAAAGAATTTAAATGGTGCGATTACCTTTTGATAATTACTAACTATTTGAAACAAATTCAAACAAATTACCCACCGTTACGCAGTTCACCCATAAGTAAATTTGAATAGAGGTGCCACATCAGTTGTATTAGTGTCTGTATTGTAATTTTTTGTGAAGATTTATCTCTAATATTTTCTAATTCAGTTATTCCTAAGCAAATACATTATACAGTGGACTTAAACTTAACACCCCTCTTGTCAAGTGGTACTACCCGTGGAGGTTTTTTAAACATCGCAATGCATCATAACGGTTATTTTTAGAATGACAAACTGATACAGCTGTTAATACCTGTTGTAAACGTAAACGCTACTAGTCTATTACTTTTATGCTTAATTGCTGCATGAAAAGAGATCTTGTGATTTGCGTAGATGTGTCGACTAAAAATATTTTTTAACAAATATCGTTTAAAACTTTGAGTTTAAAAAGTTTCCAGAAAAAATGCCACTTTGCTGAAAATGGTCAGAGGGGGTATTGGCCGTTCCCCCTTCTCCCCCCTGCGTACGCTACTGCTTCTTTCTCCGTCTGACACAGTGTGCACTTTTGTACACATGACATTTGACAGAATTTTATTCCAAGTAAAAATCGAATTTAAATATTGTTTTGAAATATGTGTGTATTCCAGCACATTGTTCCTATATTGTAAGCATGAAGTTTTGTTTTTTTAATTACCCTTACATTTTTACCTCATAAATTGGAGTCCAAGCTAATAGAGGTTGTGTCAGAAGGGGCTATACTCAGTTCTTCAAATTTACATGTTAATTCTAAAAATGAATTCAGTCAGAAAAACCAATCGTGATCCCTCATTTGGGATCATTAAAATTGTTTGTTTATAAATTATTATTAAATTGTTTGTGTTTATAAATTATTATTTAATTGTTTGTGTTTATAAATTATTAATAAATGATGTGCTATTTATTGTTAACTGTAAAATTATATTTTTCCTTATTCCCACAGATCTCAAAGCTTTTGAAAGAAGACTTACAGAAGTTATAAGTGGTCATCAACCAGCAGCCAGATTTTGGAGAAGTGTGTTTAGTTATTGTTGTTTTTTTGTTTATCAATGTTACAATACTATAAGTAGCAATAATTAAAACAGAATTTTTTGTATATGATAACACTGGTGTAACTATGGTGATTGGGTGGAAGGGTTAGTCCTTTATGATGAAACCAAAATGTGTTAAAATTAAAAATGCTTCATAATCCTTTTTTTTAAATTAAAATAGAAATAAATAGGCCTATTAAACATGGATTCTTTTCGGTTAAAGTTAAAAATAATAATCTCAATAATAATAGTTGTATTTAGATGGGCTATCTTAAATATAACTTTTAGTTATATATTCCCTTGATCCCAAAGATTATGTATGCCATGTACCTGAATCTCTTATATTGGAGTGGCAAAAAAAGTTAGTACAGATGGATAGTTATTTAAACACACTTGAATAAAAAATGTCAATTCATAAAATGAATATGCTAGTAGCAGTAATTGACCTAACAAATGTTTTAGTGAATTTTTTGCAAACTGTCAGTCCTATTCAGGTTATAAATATTTTGAATCAGAATTAAAGTAGATCTATTCAGTGTTGCCTGATTCTAGTATAACTTAAGATTTTTATTAAAAATGTATGCCAAAAATGCCAGATGCAATCTCTTGCTGAGCTAGAATGATTATGCTTGATGAGGGCTTTCTTGAAGCAGTTTTGTCAACAAAACTATAGACTTGCAGAACGAACAAAATAATATTTGGTGTATACTAAAAATTGAAAATAAATTTAGGCTATTCACCTTTTGATAAAAAACCAATTGCCAGGTTTACAACAATAATGAAATGTCAAATGATTTTGTGTTTAAATTCAATACCCTTGGTTTACATAAATAAAGCTTATCTGAAGGGTTCGAGAGCGGGTGGGGGTGGGAACAGCTTTTTCTTTTCTCTAAATCAGGGGTCTCCAAACTACGGCCCTCGGGCCTGATGCGGCCCGCGAGGTCCTCTCATCCGGCCCGCGGACATCTTTTTGTCCACGGAAAAAAACGTTAGTTGGAGTTGGCTGAGGAACTTGCTCAGAAAATCACGACATGCCTGGAAGAAACTGGCCCCCGAACTGAAATTTGGTAGTTAATACGGCCCTCGGACTGAAAAGTTTGGAGACCCCTGCTCTAAATGAATCATATAAATGCATGTAATGAAGAGCTTGCCATGCACAAATGTGTTGCTATTTATCTGAATGATGTATTACAAAGCTTTTGAAAGAAAAAACATGTACCTATTTATTGTTTATTCTTTAAATCTAAGAGATCAGTAGCATCATATTAATTTTTATCATTTTTAGTAATTTTCATCATTGTCTCCTTGTGCACCATGGTGGGTGCGTGGACTTGGCTCTGGGATCCTGAAACATCACAAGTAAGTTGTTTCTTGAAGATTTTATCTGGTGTTTGTTCAAGGCAAGTTTTTTTGTTTTAATTCTTCAGGTAATTGTTTCATTAAGGAAACCAGCGTTATTTTGTCTAATTTCTTGTTTTACTGTATAGAAAATTAATCATGTTTTAAAATAGTATGGTAATAATAAAAAAATATTTTTATGTGGAAATATTACCACAAAATTACATAAAAGAAACCTCAATTTATGAAAATAGCTAAATCTTATTCATTTTACTTTGTCATATTTTTTGTTCATAATTTGAACCAGTGCAGTAAATGACATTTTTTCATAAAAGAAGAAGATAGTCTTTTGCCTCTCTGTATAGCATACCTTGGAGATTGATTCCACTAAAAAATTCTGCCCAAATATAATTAATCAAAGATCTGACTTGTTATAGGAATGAATTGTTTTAGGTAATTTCTTAGTTACATTTTTATTGTAACATCTTTTTAACCAATATACATTTTGTTTTTCAGATAAGTTTATCTCAATCACTGTGGAACCATCCATTTTTTACAATCAGCTGTTCTGTTCTTTTGTTTTTGTTCCTCTTTGGTATACACAAGAGAGTGGTTGCTGCTTCCATGTATCCTTGAGTCAAATTTACCATTCTAATTGATGCCATGACTTAGTGATTTTAAAATATTTTGGCATTGCTTAATATTTTCTCTGGGGATAATTTTTTTATTATGATTATTACAAGTTAAAACTACTGTAGATAAGGCTTTTTAAGATTTATATTAGATGTGCAAATTAGTAACATTTTTAAAACATATAAGGCTTCATCAGTAAGAATAGCTATTGTTTAATACTTCATACTATATTAATTTCTGTGCACCAGTTTAAGTTTTGTCTTATTAGAAAATGTATATTTAGAGGCTGATTTGTGATATTAACATAGCAGCCTGAATGTTTAGGTTTATAAAATAAGTTTTTCAAAAGTTTGATTAGTGCACAATCCTTGACAGTAACCAGCATTGCATCTAGGTGTCGCACATTTCTTGCTGAGTACAACATGTCCTGTGATGATGTGAGTATTATGCTTTTTTATTACTTCAGCAAGTATATATCCTATAATTTTATCTAAGATGAGTTGATTAGTTCAAAAGTTAAACTCTAGCGGCTTTAAAGTTCACCCTGTTGAGTCTTGCTGGAAGTTTAAGGTTTAATTTCAGTAGTGAAACAGCACCTTGTTTTTAAAAAATTCCCCATTTAGATTTTAATAGTTCTTAAATCTAGGCTAACTGGGAAGAATTCTGAACCAACCCTAAACAAAACTTTATAAAGTTGGAGAGAAATGCCACATATTACATAGCTTTTGTAAATCTTTAGTTTTATAAGATAGATTGAATTCACCAAACTTTTTTTGGGTATGAGAATTCACTTTGAGAAAATTCATACTTGTAATATTTGGGCTATAAAATCCTTTTACAAGTTCAAATCCTGTCACATATGTATCTAACTATCTAACACATATTAACATTTTTCTTATACTGATGCATGATAAAAATTCTAACACTTATCTAATTACAGAATGGAAAGCTTATACTAAAGCCTCGTCCTGCTCCATGACAAGAAGACGTCTTTAATTTGCCTCGAAGAAAGTCACTGTCATCTGTAATTAGTTGGGTTAGAAGGAGGTTTAAGCGGCCCAGACTTAGAAGCTGATAATTTTGTGTAAAATGAAAAATGTTTCAGAATGTGTCAGACATCAAAACAAAATTCCACCAGTGTAGTAGTTAAATAAAATGTCTGGTCAGGAGTAATTGACCGCTTGAGTCTTTAGTGTTCGTGCCAGTTGATAAAAACTTGATTGAAAGTCCAAATTTGAAGTAATGACATTTAAATTATAATGGTACTATTGATACAAAGGGTTTTCAATTATATTGAAATTCTTGTTCTAGTCATTATTAATGAAATGATGAGATTTCAATCCTCTATAAATTATGAATGGAGTTTTTTTGCACTTACTGTTAGCAAACTGACTCTGTAATTAATTCACATTGTGTGGTTAAAAATTATACTCTGTCATGACAAGTTCAGCTTTATTTTATTGTTTTAGTTTGAGCAAACTATATTTTCTTAACTTTTTACCTTTGTTGAACTTAAGGGCCTGAAGAGTAGTAGTTTTAAAACATAATTGGATATCTACATAGTGGCTGATAAAGTTACAGTGCTAAACCAGCACAATTACTACAACACTGTATAATTTAGATGAGGAGTAATATAAAAACTATCAGACTTTATTAGTTATGAATGCATGCTGCTTCACTTTTAACTGTAGTAAGCAGTTTGTGATTGTGTTTTGTTACCCCAACTAGTTGCTATAATTCTTAGAATAATAGAAATTTTTATTTTAACTAAACATTTCTGTAGTGACAGTCTTAAACTATTTTTAAGTGCCCTTTTACTCAGAAAGGTTTTTTTAAGTTTGTTCTTGGTTTATTATATTTACATTAATCAGGAATAATTTATTTAACAACTAGGGCCTGAAACATAATACTTTAGTCCTCACCGTATTCAGTTTTGTGAATTCTGATTATTAAATTAACACATTTCAAATCTTGAGTTTTAAAACATTTTTGCATAACTGGACAGTTGTTTTTTTTCATTTTTAAAACTAAGAATATTAGCCCCAACTGTGTGTTTTGATATAAAGGCTGACCTCCTTCAAGTGTATAAATAACATTTCCAAAAATTGTGTGAGGCAATTAAAGATGCTATTGATTGTTTTCTGAACATGTATATTATGTACATAAATATCTATGGTGTACTGTATAATTACCTGTGTAGTGTGTAAGCTTTAGTGAGTATTATTGCAGAATGCTGAACTAGTTGATCTCTATAATGTTGTGTATAAAAATACATTTTCTTATGTTGATCACATTGTTGCAATGTAAATAAAATTAAATCATCATAATTTGAATGAAGATTGTTCATGTTTTTTTTTTTCACTTTATATATTTTTTTAATAACTTTATTTTTTATATTCTGAGTAGTAAAATAACCTAACTGGTAAATGCAAAATAATAATCAAGGCTAACTAAATTATTAAATAAAAATATTTTTGTTGGACTGAAATTTCTTTAGTTAAATTTAAAATTATATTTTTTGTACAAAATAGTGAATTAGCTTGACCATAAGTTTGTAATGGGACATTGTGGCCTAGCAGTAGTGAGCTAGACTACAAACCCGAAAGTATTGAGTTCAAGTATAGACTGGAACAAATGAAGGTTAAAATATAACATATCTGATTCATTACAGATATAATTATGTCACACAATTTCTTGATTTGTCTGTTGATTTTAATTTTACTTAAAATATCAATTTTTTTTCAACCAGTTTTATAAAAACCTATAATTTCCAAGCTTGGTAAATCATACTCTATTTTATAGTTAAATTTAAAATTAAAGTGACCCAGCTGAACTCTCTTCTCCAATAGAGCATCAGAATTTGTTTCTTCAAAATGGTTGAATTTTCATTATTTTCAAATTATCTTTCATCCATGGTCTGCTTTGTTGGTGAATTGTTAGTTTGCTTAGTTATTTTGAAATTTATATCCAGATGTAATTGTGAATATTACCTAAAAGTATTAAGCTGTTGGTAATCTTGACCAGTGGTCTTTGATAAGCTGTATCTACTTGTTAGCATTGTAGATTTTGTCATTAACTTCACAATTCTCAAATAATTCTAGCCCTATCCAATACCCTAGCTCTAATACAATGACTAATTTTCCATCAAAGTCATGGTATCATTTTGGCTGAAGAGTATGTGGCTGTTTACAACTTCAAATTGTGTTCACTTCATCTACTTTATGGAGGTTCCTTTGTTACACTTGGACAGTCCTTATAGGACCCCTCTATTTCTGGTATTTATAAGTATTCCCTATGTTGCAGTTATTGCTATAAGTGGCGATATTTTCTTCAGTCACGAAATTTAAAAGAAAATAAGTTTAAAATCACTAGATCTATGATAAAAAAAAATTCCAATAACACTAAAATGGATGAATTTTAGGGGGTTGAGGTGAACTGATCTAATGTTACCTGAGAGACAATTGTGCACATCACTAATAGACAGATAATTGTCATTGAGTTTAGATCACAATCTACTGCTCGGGTTTTATAGCAAATATTTTTAGTCATTTAACTAAATTAATTGACTTAAGAATGAATATGAGGGAGAAAATAAATATGGTACTAATTGATTTTTAAACTAAAATATTGACTTATTTTATTTTTTTTAAGTCCTAACTATGAAGATGTTGAATACAAAATTATTTTATAAACCTTCAAAAAAACCTTTTGAATCACTAAAAAAGATAAAATAAAATAATGAAATCTCTAACACATGACATCTAAAGAACGGAAGTTTTTTATTTTCTTTTTTTTTAAGCCCATTCATAAACTTGTTATTATAAGGATTTTGTAACTGTTCTATTTTAGAGATAACCTCAAAAACCTAATGTAACAAATATGAAACACTTAAAATGACCATTCTTTCCTAGTGTACATTTGTTATACTTAACCATGTAGCAATTTGTTTTTAAAAAGAGAAAACCAAGCTAAATAACATCTAAAAAAAATTAAAGCTGCTAGGTATCTTCATTACTTGATTAAAATCAATATAAAATAGTTTCAATTTTTCGGGAATATTTATTTTTATACTTGCAAAAACTGTAAGATGACTAACTCTACTACCTTATATTTGTGACTTACATTCTAAGCCACATTTACTTTTTCTTATAATTGACACAAAAAACCTGATAAGCTTGTTAGTGAGGCTCTAGTATTATACCTTTCAAATTACAGCAACACACAACATAGTTCCAACAAGACAAGAACATTATTTTATTTCAGTAATTTTTAGACAATAAGGATTAAGACCATCTAACCGCTACATAATAATGGATAAAGCAAAATATCAAGTCTGTTCTTGTGAAAGTTTGAGAGTTTATTTCCTGCTGAAAATGATACTGATGTTGTTGTAGTAGTAATAGTAGTAGTAGTGTGCAGTCCAGGGTCCAAAGGAGTGCAAAATTACAAGGGAGCACAGATAAAGAGGCATTGTATGCCGAGCATTGCTAGCCAAAATTTTAAAGTCGCCCCTATGGACCCTCGGGCTCTACGCCACAGGCAGGAGTGAATTGAAGAATAGTTGAACACCTACACATATAGAAACAATTGCACTGAAAAGATGCTGAAATCAAGAATTTTCTTACCATTTCAAATTTTTTTTTTCACTAGATAATTGTAATGATGAATAATAAGATTGCACACATCCCATTGAACTAACATACAAAATAAATTCAGAGCTGAGGCATTCGGCTATCAAACACTTTTGAACAGACAAATATATTTTGTTACCAACAGACTGACAATGTAATAAGTAAATTAGAATAATTCACATGATGAATTATGACATGAAACATTAACAAACAAACACTACTACCTCTCGTGATTGGGGGGAACAATTTGTTAAAGATTACGGTTATGCATACACCAAATATGAAATTGATAAGGAAATATCAAATATGTTTACAAGTCACATAAAATGTGTTAAATGTCTCTAATCTGACAGCTCCATTTTGATCATACAGAGTTTTTTATCACAAAAACTTGCAAAAAATTTTGAAATGAAGATTTTAAAAATTGTTTTCCACCTTATTTGCCCCTTTTCTTTCTACTTTTCAACCAACCTAATGTAGAACACTGAAGTTGCTCAGACCACTATTCCAGGATAAACTCCGAACCAAAAAAAAAGCTGTCAGCTTGGAGACTAGGTGCAGTCATAGACCAAACAGGCCAACATATGTGTACACTAGCAACAATAAACCACACATTGAAGCTGGAAAAGTATGCATATTGGTATATTATAATTTCATGTGCAAAATCTTTGTTTCATTTTTATTTTATTTTTTAAAACTTATATTATAACTGATACACCATGTTTTTTTTTTAATAGACAAAGCTTTCAAGCATCTTAAAAAGTAAAGAATTAAAATAATTTAAAATTTCAATTCATTTTTAAAAAGGAGATGTTTTTTTTTCTAAATTCTTTTTCTGCACAAATTACATAATTATTCAAGTAGGTTAAAAATTATGTTCACTTATTCTACTTCAGCTAGTTCAAAAGAGGACAACTTCACTTTTTCAATGGCACCTACAGTTTAAATCAAAATCCACATTTCAAAAATTCTCCACTGTAATTTCTCTTTCCAAATATTAATTTGTCAACAAGTACAATTAGTTTTGGCAAATGAGATATTACTGTGGGAGAATCATATCTAGTGAAAAGAGTAAATGGTACCACACAATCATTGCTGTCCACACTTATTTACATTTTGAACCCAGAAAACAGGAACTTGGCTATACTAAAATATAAAGCAGCGTGTTCTTCTCTGAATGAAATCAAGGTGGATGCCAGCACCATGATTTACTATCTGTCAACTGGTTCATAATGAATACAGAGTGGGAAACACATAGTATGAAAGGAAATATTCATTGTTTACTAGTAGTACCATGTGGTTAACTTAGATCTAATTTTCTAAAGATCATAACATCTTTAAGAGTTGCTGAGAAAATTGATTTTATGTTATTCTTGGGGTAACTTGTACCAAAAAGGGGGGAAAATATGCATAACGTAAAATGGGAACAGAAACCAGTGATGTTATGGTGTCTTTATATGTAATTTGAAATAAATAGTTAAATATAAATATAACTTAAAGATTGCACAAAGAGTTTCATAACATAAACTTTTATGTTCCTTTACAATTTAAAGAGGATTTAAGTTTCATTTTCATTAAAGTTCTAAAAAAAATATTGCTGACATATTTACATTTTTGAAAAAAAAAAAATTGGCCAAAAATGTGACTTTTTGCATTTAAAATAATTGATGAATATTTTGTGACAGTGTAATTGTAAATAAAAACTATTTTTAAAAAAAAATGTTATAACTAAAAATACTGATAACTGTGATCTACTAAGTAAAAACAAACATGATAAAAAAATTGAGAATTATTCAACTTGGTGCCAAGAACTATACATATAGAAATGACCAGGCAATGATTTACTTGACATTATAAAAATAATGACTGAATGTACAGAGCATGCTTGCTTGTAGTTATCTAAATGAAACACAGAGAGAGCAGAAAAAAAATCACACACATTCTCTTTTAACATGGGTGATGATTTATAAAATTATATATATAAACATGAAATAAAATTGCAAAAAGATACTTGCTGACAGTAGGCTCAGTAATAAAACCTAATCCTACTGATAACTACTTCATTATAGCATTACAATGAATCAGTTGATTAACAAATTCACACACAAAATTAAATCCTTTTTGGAAATTATTCATGAATTTAAATGTAATTTTCAATAGAAGTTAAATTCACCAAAATACATTTTTAGGTTTAAATAGAGCTGAATACAAACAACTGATACGGCATTTTAATTGTAAAATGTAGACCTGCCTTCATCTGTGTTAAAAATCTTTCATTGGGATGGGTTTCAATTTTTGGGGAAAACATTTGGGTTTACTGAATCTAAATCCTCGACTTTATCTATTAAGCTTTTTTGTTTTTTAATTTGTCGCAAGCATGGATTTATAGCTATTTAAAGCTCATATCATACATGCACTTTACCCTTTAGATGGAGTGTTCAGGCTGATTATTATAACGACTACATTTAACTGGGTTTTTTTTTGTTTAAAAAAGCATTGTAAAAAAATGTGAACTTGCGTCAACAAACATTCACACAATAGCACATAGTGTGCTTTATTTAATTAACGGTGTACAATTACAGCCAAACACTTGCAGAGTACATGTGCAAGTTACTAAATATACCATAACTTCACCTAATTGTTATTGCAATTTTTTGAGAATGGAAACCAGTTACAAAAAAAAACAACTGAAATGATTTAAGAAGTACTTTTGCACTAGTTCACACAAATTTTGTATTGTTAGTACATCTTATGTGTACACAAAGCAAAGTAATTCATCAATATTTATTTTTTGGCTTTATTGATTTCACTTTGACAAAGATGTGAAAAAATTTTTTTAACTAATACATCTGTGAGCATATATAAACGTCTAATGCATCTAAACATAAAAAATAAAATTTTATGACATTTTTTTAATAATCACCTTAAGCATTGGCATTATTTAAAAAAAAAATCCATGAATCACAAATCTCATTTCAAAATAAAACTAAATTATAGTTTTTAACTTTTAGACTGGTAAGCCTGAAGTTAGGGTGAAGGGTACAGTCATTACTAGAAACAAGTGAGATTCTTCATCATGGACACACAGAGTATAAAGAGAATAGGACATAGAGAAAAACATCAAAGATATAACAATTAAAATCTGTCGATATACTTGACCACATCTTAAAGTGATATTCAAAATGTGACATATACACACATTCTTGTAGCTTGTCGTACACATTATCAAATACAGGCACACCTATAGCAAAGAAAATGAGAAAGGTACAATTCACAACGTCATTTTAAAAGATATATGTAGTTTCAAATGAGACTTGTAAATTTGTCCAAACTTATGTTTTTAATTTTTTTTCAAACAAAAGTAATACAAGTGAATAACTTTTAACATAAAATAATTGTGATAAAAACAACTTTTTAAAAAAGGTGCAAAATGTACAAGTTGAAGCATTCATTTATAGAACGTTGTTAAAACACTCAAATCATTGTAAACGCGTGCACTCTTAAACTGCACATTCAATGGCATTTAAAAAAAAAAAAACTATCCAAAACTGCACATTCAAGCGGCAATAATTGTATACATAGTTCATAGTGATTCTCTACACACAGATGCAAACATGAAAAATAACTACTGCACCCACTCACATGTATAACATACTTTACAATTATAGTATTTAAATGTAGGGTCTATACAGAAGGGTTTTGAAAAGTACAAAATCCATCTGTAAAAGTGAGGAAAAAAAAAACAACCCAGCACGATCATGTCATTTTGCTTTGCTCTGATACCCTTGTCAAAACTAAAAGCCCTTTCCTCTTTTTTTTTTTCTGTTAAATTTATATTACTATCTGTTAATGACCGTGATTCATTCACAAAAAAATGAAAAGCAAATATCTCTCTAAGCATTGGCATGTCCGCAAGATCTGAGATGAGCAGGTTTAACTTTTTAAGTAAAACATTGAGGGGGTGCATCTCCTGATCCATTTTTTTTACACAATCCAATAGTTCTTGTGTCTTCTTACCACACCAACAATTTGTGCATGTGAAAAAAAATTATTTCAAACTGCTGAAGACTAGAATGTGGACAACCATGCTTGCACTAACCTATTAAGACACATCACGGTTGTTGGTTATTACCGTACATTCCCTTACACACAAAAAGGTTAGTTAGTACAGAACTTATCAGACAATCTTGCCCTATAATTTTTTAAAGGATAGATGTCTCTTTTAAAATAATGTTCTCATAGAACAGGTCTTTAATTATAATTATAAATTTTCAATTTTTTTTTCATACATTGCTTTTCTTTCAGTTTGTACTTTTGAACTATTAAGTTTAAGTTACAGGATTAAAAAATCTAGTTTTAATTTTCATTTAAAAAAGATAAAGCTAAAATGTACAATTTATAATCTGTGCATTCGGTTGTAATAAACAGTTGGTGTATCACCAATCTAGAATAATGTATCACATGTGTTTGAAAATAGATCCTTTTCAATCCTTTCCTTGAACTATATTAATTTCATAATTAATTTCAAAATGCAAAGGTTAAAACCTTTTATTATTTATTACTATTGATTATTATATTACTGTAATAATTTTAATATTATGCCATTTCTTTAAACTAAACCTATAAAAATTTTACTAAGTAACATTTTTTTTTTAGAAAAAATGACTGGTAGGGTACATTTGTAAAAACACTGCCATGCATGAAAGAGAAGTTACCTCAGTAGATTTTAGAGTTTACCTCAATAGATTTTACCCTAACAACAGAGCACGTATATAATGGTAAATCAACTAGCCATAAGAATATCATTCATTCCATATATTCTTACAATTTTAAATAGGCCTAAGTCAAAAGTAAAAAGAATAATTTTCAACTGTTTCATCTCTATTTTTATGCACTATTTTAAAAAATATATTTATAATAATTATAAGCAAAAAATGATGAAGAATAAATGAGAAAAAAAAAACTAGCATTGCTTATAGTTTAAATGTTCGACGCGTGATGAAACCAAATGTCCAGCATTTGAGGTCTACATTTAACATATATCATTGCCATCCAAATTTAAAGGGTTGTACTGCACTAAAGGGTGTTAATAATTTCAATTTTAAAAAAAAAAGTTCCTCTTTAATTAGTATGATAATGAGTTATAAATTAAAGATCTATCAGTATTAAAAATGAAACATAAAAACAGTTCTTTCTTAATTTAAAAAAAAATAAAAATAAAAATAAAACAGGTTTTGTTGTAATGCAAATTTTAATGAAAAAATAGAAGTGCCTAAACTGGGTACTAAGAAAGTGTACCTTGAAACAAACAGGAATGCACAAGATAAATCTACATATAAAAAGGAATACTCAACCAAACATAAGAAGGAGGATATGAAACAGTACGCATGTAAAAAAAAAATTCTATAAATAGGTAAAGGAGATGGAAAAAAATTGAGCTATTATTCTGTGCTTATGAAATACTTTCATGTAGCATGCAAGTAATCTCTAACACTTTTTGTTAAAATAATATCTCTTCTTCAATATATATATCTTTAGTGAAAAACATAGGGCCAATTCAATTGTTACTGTGCTCAAACTATGGTTGCATTATTGTTAATGTTGTGCTTTTACAGTCAGTATTGTTTTTTTTTTTACATACATTTAGTCAACATGACTTAATTGTGTATGCATGTTTATCTCCATTTTCAATAAACAAGTAAACTTTCCTTTATCAAATTTTCCCATACCAAACTAAAATAAATCATTTAAATTGAGTAGTGATCAAAGTAGTGATTTTTTACCGTCTAAGGAAAATATTGAAAAATGGGCTCTTTTTTAGTGATGGAGATCTTGGCTTATTTTTTTTTTACAGTCCCATGCAATGTCATTGCGACACATATTTTTAACACAGGTTTCTCCACATATTAACTAAGCTAACTAAGCTTCTTAGTATAATTAATTGGGGGAGGGGGGGGGGGGGGAATCAAGCTGTATTATGAGTTATATTTTCTAATAAAAATCAGCTCATACATATTACAAATATAATGCCCTGTTGTAGCATAACAGCTGTAGTTTTTAAAATTAGAACTTTTACAAAATTGTTTTAAACTTTTCACGGCCAAATTAATTTTGACAGAATGACACTCTGGTAGAGAAAAAAAAATTCTTTTAGTTTATCTGAAGTTCTATTAAAAAATGTAATAAACAAAACTTGTCTAAGCTATAGTCAGAATTAACATTATTAATGAACTAGTTTCGAAGTTTCGTAAGAACAGTGAGTTAGTTTGTTTTTTAAAACCTTGGTACTAAGGGTATCTGTTAAGTCAATGAGCTTTACATGTTCACTTTGTGAGGAGGATGTTTAAAAATATTGCTTTTACTTTTTCCTTTAATATTTGTGCCTTTTAACCAGTTTCTTGTTTTAAAGTTATAATTTGATGCCTTCAATGTGCAGGCTTAGCCTGTCATCTGTTTAGTGTGAGATGAATTAAATTCATTAGTATTTAACTAATACATTCTAAATTAAATGTCATTAAAAAAAAAAAAACAGCAAAGAGATAAGTGAACTACTTAATAGGGTGTAACTCTACAACTAAAGTTGCAAGTTCACAAAGTATAGTTTGATAGAAATATGATAACCAAAAGTGAATGAACAGCAAAAAAATATTGATTATGACATTGTTAAAGGAGTTAATTTCCTCAAAAACTTTTAGACACACAATTAAAAAAAAAATTAAATTGTAATAAAAACTTGATTATTTATGGTGTTGTTCTTTGACAATCCTTTACATTAAAAATATAAAATTTAAACTCTAAAATGCCCCTGCTTACCATGCAAGTATCTTCCTACTTTAAAAAAAAATGGCTGCCACAAGCTTCAAACACTCCAAAAACTCTGAAAATCTTAAAAATTTCTAGTGAATAAGAAATGACGATCTAGCTGAGCTTATATTTCAATACCTCTAGCACACAGTTTATGATAGGTGTGTGTCCTCTTGGCTAAAACAGCATCAGGTCAGAACATTGAAAACACTGTTTTTGTTTCACATTTAAAACCCATGTTGGTCATTATATTCTACTAACTAACGCTCCAGAAGGCCAGTGCATCAGGTTGCTTCCCTTGCCTTACTCGCATCCTTTCCCCATTAGAACAACATTTATTCATATCTCTGTCCTTGTGAGTCAAACAAAAGGAAAATAGATGAATGAAATAGAGTGTTCAGTAGAGCCCACAACCCCTTAGGTTGTTTGCAATAATGACATCCGTAACAGCGTCAAAGACGAATTGAATGTTGTTAGTGTCTGTAGCGCATGTTTGATGACAGTAGATTTCCTTCGCTGAGCTTTTATTTTTAGCTTCAAACTGTGCCTGTATGTATGCAGAGGCCTCTTGATACATTTGCTTACCTACAAGCAATGAGGAAACATGAAATCATTAAATTACCTGATTAAATTTGTCATGATTGTCATGCTTTACGTTAAGGTTAAAATATGTGCTATATTAGAAGCCCTAGATGATTATAAAAAATAAAATAAAAACATTTTTGTTTAATTTAATTAAAAAAACAAACAAACAAACCTGTATATTCAGGGAAACATATTGTTAATGGGGACTTCTTGATTTTTTCCTCGAAGAGATCTTTCTTGTTGAGAAACAGAATAATAGAGGTTTCTGTGAACCACTTGTTGTTGCAGATGGAATCAAACAATTTCAAGCTCTCCTGCATTCGATTCTGGAGGAGAAAAATAGAGAAAGTCAGAACATAAGAATACAGTCGGTTTTAGTCAGGTTGGTAATGTAGGTTTAGTGGGGGACTGAGTGGAGTGAGGGACAGAGTGAGTGGAGTGAGGGACAGAGTGAATTGAGTGAGTGGTGTGAGGGACAGAGTGAATTGAGTGAGTGGTGTGAGGGACAGGGTGAATGGAATGAGGAACAGAGTGAATGCAGTGATGGACTGAGTGAGTGGAGTGAGGAACTGAGTGAGTGGAGTGAGGGACTGAGTGAGTGGAGTGAGGGACTGAGTGAGTGGAGTGAGGGATTGAGTGAGTGGAGTGAGGGACTGAGTGAGTGGAGTGAAGGTCTGAGTCAATGATGTGAAGTGGGGGGGGGGGGGGGAGTTGAGTCAATACACAGGGAAAAGAGTCATTGAGTCAATTTAAAAAAAAATTAATTTTTGTATTTATCCTCTTGTGACAGTTGGGGGATCCTATCTTGGAAATTATATTTGGTGGAGTTAGAATCTAAAGTCTAAGTTAAAGCTGAGTAAAACAAAGTGAAGTTCCCCTTCCAGATCTAATGATCCATAGGGCAGATGAAGGAAAGTTCATGTTGCTTGACATATGACGGGATGGTGTGGTCAGCACTATGCCCAGTTGCCTTTACTTTCCTTAACTTCAGGTACCCAAATTTGTTTTTACCAATAAAAGGACACTATAGGCTACTATAGAATTAATGATTTATGACAAAGACAACTATCATAACTAAGATGAACTGTGCATTCAATTCAAAATTCAAAATCTGTGTCAAATGACAATCACTTACTGTTGTTTCATCTTCATGTAAGACTTGGTCATATTCACTCATAGCAACACAAAATATAATGGCTGTCACATCTTCAAAACAATGTATCCATTTCTTTCTTTCAGATCTCTGCCCACCCACATCAAATAATCTGTGGATAGAAGCCATTGTTGACAATTGAATCAGCTGCTGAAGTCATTACAAAGCACAATAAAGATGTGATGCAATACACAAATAATATTTTTTATCTCGTATTCTGCTTTAATCTGATATTAAGCTAGAAAATTATGCACATTCAATGAAACTGCACTGATTAGTTAAAAATACATTACAGTGGTTTTTTTATGATAATCTCTAAACAAGAACATATTTTAATTATGATTTATTTTTTGGTAAAGTTGTTAAAAGCATTCACTTTTTATTTTGTTTCTTACTTGGACAACTAATACATTGCAAGTGTAAGCTTAGAAAAGTATGTGTAAATCAAAATTTATCAGTGGCTACATAATCACCTTTAAATTCTACACAATCCCCTGATAAATTCTACAAAATCCACTACTAAACTCAAAACAATCCTGATAATCTCTATACAATCCCTAGTTTAACTATATGCAATACCCTGGTGAGCTTTCAACTTACTAAAGTATATGTCACTCACTTCTAGTTTATCAACAAAATAGTCCTACACAAAGCTCCAATTAAAACCTTTTTAAAATGTCGTTATTTATTGCCTGTGGTTAAATGTCCCTTTGTCATCAGCTACATATTCCACTACTTATGGTTAAAGTAGAACTTTGTTATTGTTACGTCAGGGTTTAGTTCAACTCAGAAAATGATTCGTGGCAATCTTCAGTACTTTTATTTGGTCTGAACTCTCCACATTACAGAGCAACCCTCGCCCTAATCGTTACCAATTACAATCATAAAAACACCGGGGTTAACTATACTCTAAGGTAAACTCAACTCACACATGCACTCTCCCCTAGTTTTAGATTATTCTAACCTATTTCTATCTAACCTACAACTGACCCGTAACAGTTATTAGCTATCGGATCCACTACCTATGGTTAAATTAGACTTTTGTTATTACCTATTTATTCAACTACCTATGGTTAAAATAGACATTTGTTAAGGTGTGTATATTCCACTACCTAATTTCCTGACCTGTGTTAGCCTATGATCATCCTAGTCAACCTGTGACACAGTGCAAGAAAAATGTACAAGTACTTACTTAAAATTTAAATTTTTAAATGAGAAATGGACTTCAACTATGCCAGTTGTTTTAACTCTTGTCCTCAAGATATCCTGCTCAGTTGGCATGTAATCTTTTGCACCTAAACGGTCTAAATCATCTAAAAAGCTGTAAAAATAAATTATAATATTTTCATTAGAGATCTTGATAAAGGACATACTTTAAACAATACTGCAATTAAAATTGTAAGTCAAAAAGTAAGAGCTAAAGATTATCAAATTAGAGAAGTTGAAATTTTAATTCCATCTCTTTAGCATGAGTCAGCTTGTTAGAGATCGTAATCTAACATTTTGCAGTGAGAGCAGCTCAATACTGTACAAGTCATACAATCTTATGTTGTATTTTATTGTAATCCTACAATGTATTGACTTGTTTTAGTATATTTTGGAGGAGGGTGTGGTAGGACAAGAGAGCTCGTGGTTGCGAACTCCAAAGCACCAGAGTTCAAACCCCTAACAGATCAGACTCATTAGCTGGGGACAGCAACTCATTTAGGAAACTCTAAAACCAAACAACTGCTGCCTTGCAGATTGTTCTCGACTGGACAAAAGCTATGGAAGTAAATCCAGAAAGAAAAAGCAGACTGAAGATGAAGTCAAAGGGCTACATGATATGTAATATTTAATTGTGTTGCAGGAAATCACCCCCCCCCCCCCCAATATAACAATTAAGAAAGAAGAAGAAAGAAGTATATTTTTCATACCTAATCACCTGTTTGTTAAAATTATATTCTCTATTGACTCTGTTCTCAAAAAGGTTACATAACTTACTAACATATTTAAAAAGATTTTATTTCAATTACTAAACCTGCTTCCAATAAGAATTCAATTGCCATGTTAATAGTAGGCCTGCATATAAAATTTAAGTTCTCAAAGCAATAAATGCTTACTATTTTGCAATCATTGAGCTGAAATTAAAACTGCCTCTAATAAGTACTCAATTGTCATGTCAATAATAGGCCTGCAAATAAAATTTGAGTTCTCAAATTAAATAAAAAAGCTTACTATTTGGCAGAGTCATTGAGCTGATACTCATTAGCACGACCTAAGCACTCCTGCACACCAGAGTCAACCCACAATCTTTTCATGGCTGCAAGCAACTCCTCTGAGAATGGCTCTGTGTCCTCCATTCTGGCTATAACATCTAAGACCATCTTAGCGTCAGACTGAAAAAAAAGTAGCATCAGGGTTCAGTAAGTGCTTGAAGTAAGAAGAAATTTAAAATTTGCATAAAAAAGAAATAAGTACTTTGGGGTCATCCATAAATGACGTCATGCTTTTTTTTGATGATTTTTACCTCCCCCCTCCCCTCCGTCACAAAAAGCCACTCCCCCTAAAATGGACGTCACACCTCAGCCTGCAAACCCCCCCCCCCAACTCTGCAGTTGAATTTTTTTTTAAAACATCGATATTTTAATAAAAACTTTGTCTGAACTCTGTCAAAATAGAGTATTTTAATCAATTCCTATTACAATTTATTAAATCAGTTTTCTAAGAACGCTAAAAAAACGTCTAAAATTCGTTCTTCCTCACATTGGCATTTTTATAATGCAAAAGTGTGACGTCGCACCATCCGAACCTCCACTCCCCCTCATCATACACCATCACAAAAATTACGGACCCCCTCCCCCCTACGAGTGTGAATTCATTTATGGACGACCCCTTTAATGTTAAGATTTTGATGAGGGACATGATAGCTCTTGTCTAAGAATTATGTGTAAGGCTATGTGAGACTTTAGCAAGATTGGATGACAGAGTGCATGACTGCTAACCCAAAAGTCTTGAGTTTGGATCACGTAGGACATCCCTGAGTCCCACCCAGCTCTGATGGGTACCTGACTCACTTAGGGTAAGTAAAGGTGGTTTGGTATAGTGCTGACAACAGTATCCTTTCACATGACGAGTTAACAGAAAACAGATAAACTCTACTTCATTTGACCCATGAACTGCCAGTTTCAAAAAGGGGACTAACATAATTGGCTAAGCCAATTCAATAAAATTAAACTTTTTCATCACAATTCTACCTCTGGCTTTAGTAAAAAGGTCGAGGAGGTTATAGCAATGTACCACATCCTCGTAGTAGAATTAGCTAAGAGTGGGATGTTTATAAATTTTAACAATATAAGCTGAATATCCTAATATATAAAAGCCCATGTGCGCACTTAAAAAAAAAATGCAATAACAATAAGTCTAGGCCTTAATTTTTTTTATTGCACTGGTGATTTAACTTAATTATATAGATCTTGTTGTTAAACAATTGTCAAAATCATAATCATTGCATACCATTAGATCTACAAGAAAAAATTATCCTTAGTTCATATTTTACACTTAACATTACAACTATGCCTAAAAGCTCAATATTTTTTTTTTTAAAACACCTTTTATTCTTTTATTATTGATGGATTCAGAAATAACCTAGACTATATACAGATAGCCCTAGATCTATAACCAGTCCAATAATAGGCAATTCTCTTTTTCTGTAAAAACTGACTAGCAGAACCATGATGTAAGCCTAGAGATTTTGCACTGCAGCAGTATATAGTAGTACTAGGTTTTTTTATGAGTCATTTGTTTTAAACATTAACTACAATTTTCAAGCTGCAATGGTATTTGCTGGAGTTATTTTATTTAATTATGCTTTATCCATCGCTACATAATCTATTCAATTCTATTCTATTGGCATCCATGAAACGGGGCAATAAATCAATAGCTTGACACGGGAATGATTTTTCCTCCCTTGAAACATTCAAGCAAGCTACACCCCGTTGTGTCAGAATTAGGGCTAGATTAGCATATTTCGACCAAACAAATGGACGCTGTTGACACGGCAACATTGCCCGTGTGTAAGCCTAGTGTTTTAGTGAACAAGTTAAACCAAATCAAGGCTGGGTAAATGATGTCAGAAACAGGGATCCGCCCCTGATGCCAAGCGACAAAAACGTCGGCAATGGTAATCGATCCTCATTCATCAGTCTCCATGGCAACCGTGTCTTCTCCCTGTGCTCGCCGTTTTTCATTCATTAGAACAGCGGACTCACTCTTGTTTTCCTTTTATTTCTTTTTTTTTTAAATCAGGGCGGTGGCGTTTTCTAGTTAGAAATCTGCAATAGCATTTATGGTACAGGCGACCTGTCGATAATCTCCCAGCAGTAAAATAAAAATCTACTGCTCTGTCGTGTGGTGTTGCAGCCATATTTTGTTTCTACACAGCCGATGTGTAGGCACGTAGGCTTAGCAGTTTTATAACGGCGTGGAATGCTAGCCGAGTGTGTTACTCTAAAATTGCCAAAGCAGATGTCTTTTTAGCGCTGTATTCGTGTGTGTTTGGAGGGGGATTGTCGTGAAAATACTTCATTAAATGTGGGAAGCTTGGACAAAAGCACAGTTTGTAGCTAACAGACCTACAAGCCCCACTCAAAACATGCAGTAGAAGTAGCCTATATAGACTGACCTCACTTCTAAAATTTAGGATTATATTTTAAAATTTTAAAAAGATCTTCGTAGGCCTATTTAGCCGATTTTAAAATGACCAGTATAGAAAATAATTATGTGTGCTATGGCATTTAAATTGCGACCACAGGGAAATTACATATATTTATCATTCATAAGCTATTATAGCAAGCAGTAATGAATAATTTAGAATACTAGATGCTGGTAGATATTAATTATAGAGAGCTAGATTTACCATAAGGCGTCCATACGATTATTTGAGTTGGTTATGCACCCCCCCCCCCCCGTTCACCTATCATCACACGTCGTTACATAAAAAACCTACATGAAGGCATCGTAAAATTCCTCCCACCCCTTCAAATAACTAGCCATCAAATCTAAAGAAAATTTACATTATTTTCAATTATTTAATTTTTTATAAACGCAAAGTATAGACCTATACCACGTCACATCCCCCGCCCCCCACCCAGACACACATTACCACCACACTTCGCACATTATCGCCTTAATTCGCCTATCCTCAAGTATATAATCCTCTCATTTATGTATGGCCTACCTCCAACAAGGAAAACAACAAAATTCGTTTTCTTTTATTTTTTTTAAGAATTATTTTTATTTTTATATATGTGTTTAGTAAGAAACATCTTCCTAATACATGTCACCAGTGGTGTAGCGAGGGGGGGGGATGCGGACCCGCACCGGGTGACACCATTTAGGGTAGGGGGTGACACCAAGGCAAACAACAGCAAAATATATAGAGAAAAATGACAATTCCACTAAATTAAGTGATTAATTCGAGTGTTAAAGTCTTTTAAGAGCAAATTTGACAAACCCTAACAAGGGGTGGAAGGGGGGGGGGGTGCAAATTGAAAGTTTGGAGGGGGGTGCAGATTGAAAATTGAAAGTTTGTCCCCGGGCGCCGAGAAGGGTCGCTACGCCTCTGGGGGGGTGACACCATTAAGTGCCGCACCGGTTATACCCGACCTCGCTACGCCACTGCATGTCACTATACTTCTTCCCCCACCCTCCCCTCTAAAACAAATGTCCACGAACCGTCGAGAAAAACACTCCTATTTCTCACTACGACTTCAGGAAGTGTAGACATATTATAACTATTTCCCACGTACACCGTCCCATGCTAAAGCTCTGTTAAAAAATATAATTAAAACAACATGAGCATACTGATAATTGACACGCTCTGTTTCCCCACTTCTTAGAAGTCATGTCATTATTTATGTAAATGAGCAACCTGCCTCTTATCAAAATGAACATCTAAATATGCTGTGGCGATGTGTGTCAGGTGACAGTGTTCAGTCAATTTACCAACACACATTTTTTTCCTTGTTTCAGTTTCTAGTCTGTTTTAACAATGGTTCTCAAAGCATGTCTTAAAGTGGGATGACCGCTAGATATATAAAAAACAGTATATAGCGCCTATATGGACACCAGAGTTTCTTCCAGACATCTCTTCGGGGGGGGGGGGGGGGGGGCTCTGCCCGAAAAAAGTCTACCCCTCCCCCCCGAACGAAATGAAATTTATATAGAAAAATACTATACTTTTAAACAGTGTCCCTCCCCCCGAGGAAAGTCTACCGCCCCCCCCCCCCGAAAATTTCAAGTGCCCCCCCCCCCCCCCCCGGAGAAAAAAGTCTGGAAGAAACACTGATGGACACCATCCCTTCATAACCCGAGGACAGAGAAACTCTACTTCACTTAACAAAATAAAATGAAAGCTAGGATTGAAAGTATCTGGACATTTAAAATTTTAAATTGCATACTTTGTTTGCTAATTTGTTTGTAACAGACTTCAAAATGTATTCGAAAACTAAGAAAAACGTTTAGGGTCTACCACAAAAAATAAACACACAGCAACTTGGAACTGAATTTTTTATCTTTGTTGGGT